TTTTTTCAGTTTGTTACTTAAAAATTTCTTTTTAATGTAATAAATCCTCTTATTTTTGTATGTAGACAAATATAAATAAAAATATTCTCAAATTGCCCACTCGACTTCCAGCATTATTCATAATGCCTGGGCAATGTGATTTTTTCTATATAATTTATCATTTTGTCCAATCCCTTCGGGCACTTTTTAAATTGCCCGGGCATTATAAATACTGCCCAGTTATTTACATTGCCCGTAACAGATATATAAACTGAAAATTGCTATTTTAATTGTGGGTAATCGCGTTAAATAAATAAATTCTGATAAAGATACCATCTTCTTTTCAAGGGGATTTTTAATTTTTACTAGTTTTTCAATGGTATAAATGACAAATAGGTGGTCGCTATTTATTTATCCTGTCTTTATGTTTATATGTTCCCCTGTCGTATACTAGAACCGGTTTTATTTAGGCCTTTGGTGATATCATCATCTTCAGTTTATGATATATAACCATTATTTATAAGTTTTTCAATTATTATTATATTTTTATAAGTTTTATACCTAATGAAATTAGTATGTATCCAAATTATTTGTATATTCGATAATAAATAGTGAATTGAAATATAACAACACCTGTAGGTACTTTCACGAAAGAATAATATATTAAATAATCATAATTCAACATAGTCAATCTACAGTGTAGGTACTGAGAGTCCAAAATAAATAATAACGGACGCCGGCCATATATGCGAAACAATTTATTAATCTGTTATTTTTTAACAAAAATCGTTCTTAGAAATAGTTGAAAATTATTTTCAAGTTCCCAAACTTTACAACTTGTTAAGAAAAGTCAAATTATGTTATGAAGAACATATCAAAATCATATTCTACACGAAATTTTACTAATTTTGACATCTCACTCGTTCATCATTGGTCATACGGATTTCGCAATCTAGTAGTCTACTTAGAAACATGAAAATAATGAGATACAGGTCATATCCTACAGCCAACGACAACCGGTGTCCTGTCTTATTTGAACACCCGGTACTTTAGAAAATAATAAATATCTGCCAAAATGATAATTAGGAAAAAATTATTAAAGTTAAATATTTCCCTTTAAGATTGATACGCCCATGGATGTTTTCAATGGATGTTTCACAGCTAGCCGACTCGGAGTAAAGAAGTACAGAGAGGACAATGAACAATGTTTTGTCGCCCTGATAATATGGCCGAGAATCGCATAAAAAAGTTCTAATTAGAGAGAAATATATCTCTGTGTTTATCTTTAGAGTTATTTTTAAACAATTATTTAAGTGTTTACTTAAATTCGTGGTATGTAAGGTTTATTTTATACTAGGAAAAACTTGTGTTTTTTGTGGTTTCAAATATAGAAGAGAAAGTGAGGTTACCTTGTCAGTATTATTTCTTACCAAAGGATATGGGCGTTGTTTTAGGAGCAAAAAGAAAAACAAACTTACTGTATATATTTGTACATGGTCTACTATCATCAGTATATAAGATTATAAGATTATTTAGTTACCTAATTTAAATAAAGAAACTAGATAATTTATATTTTAAATGAGGTCATTAGAAAAGTATATAAAATTCTTATATATTTTTTTAATATCCTGAAATTATTGTCATGAAATTCCTAAAGCCTACCCTGTGTACGCGCGACCTTTAGATAGCAACCGACTCGTGCTCGAGGCGACGGAACGTTCAGGAATGCCTGCCGCTGATGCACTATAAACGGCTAGAACGGGCGGAGAGTGCCGTTTAGTCATAGAAATGGAATGTTCGAGAGCCTCTGGTGTCTTCTAGTAGCAGAGTTGGACTAATATAAATAGCCGACGTATCGGCGCACAGTTTAGTTTAGTTCAGAGTATTGGAATGAAAAGTTAAAGTGTAATAAATTAGAATTGTTAGTTAGTGTCTAAGTATTATATAAATTAAATAGTACGTCTGAAATAAATTGTAAATAGTTTGTTTTAAATAAATAAAACTATAAATAAATAAGACTATCGTTACATTATTCTACTTATGCTAAATGGTAAATATTTATTGGTTTGTTTTATTCTTATATATTAGGTATATTTTTCATGTTTAAATTAAATGCTTTATTATGCTTTATTCAGTTCTACTATTGCATAGGTTTTCAATATAATAGGTATCGATATTTTATAGAATTCCAAACCTTCCTAAAAACCTAAATGTTTTAGAAGCAATAAAATATCATTTGTTCTCAATTCGTCGTTATATGTATGATTTTTTATGTATGTCCAGCGATAATTCTTTAACACGGTGTCCGATTTCAATGAATATTTTTTTGTTAGAAAGGGGGTACTTCAGGGGTAGTCCCACATAAATATGGTCAAAATCTAATAATTGGATCCTATAGAAAATCCACAAACTCTTCATTTTTTATGTATGTTTAGAAGGTAATTCTTTTCACCTTATTCGATTTCTATGATTCTTTTTTGTTAGTAAGGGGGTACCTCATGGGTGGTCCCTATAAATTTGGTCAAGATATGGTGATGGCATCTGCACGATTTTGAAGTCGGTTTTTTAAAATTACTTTTATAACTTTATTTAAAATAATCCAACGCAATCGGTTTACGTACGCTACTGCTCAAGATTCCAATATGAACGAGAAAGCCTGCATTAGAAAAAAAAATAATTTTATATAAGCGACATCAAAATTGTATAGATTTATGTAGTGGTAGCCTATCTGTACATATATTATCTAAGCAAGCGGATGATGACGAGCTAGCGCCATGTTACGGCAACATAATCGGATCTCTCACTCCGATTTAGAGATGGAATGATTTAGGCCTTGGCTTCACCACAAATACACTTTTATCAATAACTAGTTGGGGATTCGAATCCCACCGTTGGCCGGGATTTTTTCATTTAATTTAATTATTTAAAATTAATTCTGATGCCTTGGTAGGATTCCCCACTCGACCATTCACTGTTGGGTTCTAATTAACAGTGCTGTTTTTAAAGTGGCACTGGGAAACAGTAACAAATCCTACACAGAACACGAGGCTAATGGCCGTAGTAGTCAACGCCGATGACACCAAATTAAAAAAAAAAAAAAAAAAAAAAACAACAACTAGTTGGGGAAGTGGGTTTAAATTATAAAGAATTAGGTGCATAACAATGATTTTTATTTCATAAATGATTATCTATCAACAGAAAACCGATTATTGCTATTTTTAGTTTTTATTTCTAATGCGGGTAATTTTTTTAAATATCTGGTGACTTTTGCGGGGAAAGTAGAGCAACAGCCTCAAGAGCTATTGTTACTTTTAAGACCGCAATATATTAAAACGCCTCAAATTCTAGATCAAGTATCATACATTGGTGCAATGAATTGCACTCACATTAGAATAATTCAATTACCAGGTGGAGAAAATGCGGAAATATTCCGAAATAAAAATGTCCAAGGAATTCGAATATACAGGATTTTCCATAAAAGGTGGCCCGCGTTGCTAGGACAGATAGAACACTGCAAAATAAGTTGGATTTTCTCAGTAAAAAATTTTGGTAACGGCCTTCGTTTTCAAGATACAGGGTATTGAAAAAAAATGTGTACACATTTTTTACAATTATGTCGAAACTACTGGCAACATTGTAATGAAATTTTGTACGAATATGTTTTGAAAACTGACATATCGCATAAATTTGTTGTTGATTTAATCACTATTGGAAATGTATTATTATTTAATACATCAAAATTAGTTTCAATAAAATTATGGTCGATGCATGATTCCGTGTTTCCCTGAACTCGGGTTGGGTCAATGTTTGATTTTTTGTATCTAAACTAAAGCATCTATCACATCTTTAATTATAAATTGGAATAAATCAAAATTTAGAGTTTTGGTAATAAAACGACCTAAAATAGTGCCATCTATTGGGGTAACTCCGACCTACATTGAAATAGTAAGCCAGGAAGTGCATATTTCTCTTTGTGCCAGTTTAGTTCTATCGGATTTTATAAATCGACATAATTTCAGTTTTGTGCCAACAGTGACTGGGATTAAAATAGCATCCTTTGCAAATTTGCTTCTAAAGAGGTATTTTTTGCTTTATTACTTAAAATATTTTTTAAATATAATCCAGAAAAGAATTGTTTCAAAATAATTCTAAAATCGTTATGCACTTTTTAGTAATAAATCGACATATTTAAATCATAAAAATCAATTTATCGCCAACCGTCAATGAAGCCATACATTACCATAGCAACTTGCAGAAGTAAACAAAAACTTTATTTCACTGTAAAAATCATATATATTATCTGCTGCTAATATATATATATATAGCAATAAAAGTTTTTATGGACCACGTCAGCAAAGTGTCTTTATCGAACTCGCCTGTTACTTGCCTCGCTCGCTTCTCTCGCTTGGCTCATAATCTCAGACTAGTTAAAAAAGAATCACTTTGCTGACTTGGTACATAAATAACAATTTCCTTCTTTCTTTGCTTAACCATTTCACAAATTTCATTTATTCATACTACTTCATAAATGTTCTCAAAATACAAACATTCTAAGACAGCTCCAAATATACAACAGTTTCTGGCAGAAACTAGCATTTTTTAGTTGTGCCACTTTATGATTAAAGGTGCGCTATATTTATGTCTCCTAAAAAAATATTATAATCAGTCGCCAATTTATCATAATCTTTGAGAAATTCTTGAAGAGCTACATTAAAATTATCTATATTTATACTTTGTTTAAAAGGGCAGTCAAAAACTAGTCACAGGATGTGGATGCTTTTATTCAGAAATGTAAAAATATTAACAGAGTACCATTTCTCCATAAGGAAAATGTGAAATTATTTTGCAGAGGGCAACTGTCCCCTTTGCCTTATTAGCAGCGTCAATGTTTGTTTCTGAATTTCCAAGAATACGCTAATTAAATGTCACACTTTTATGGCCTATTTATACGTTAATTTTATCCAGAAATATACGGATTTTTTTTTATATTTGTAGGCGATACTGTTCGGTCTTTATCTTACCTTATTCGATCTGAGCGTAACTTTTCCGCCGCATCTGGCGCAACATCTGATAGAACAATAGTTACAAATGTGGCCCACCCCGTCGGCGAACTTGGTCTTGAGGCATATGTGGCATGTGGCGTCAAGTTCCACTCCCGCCTTTTTTTGTTGTTCGTTGCGGGCTCGGATGGTTTCCTCTAGGATGTGGACCTCGTCCGCTTTCCGCCTACAAAAGAAAAGAGACGAGTTAAGGTTGTACAAGTAAATTGAAAAAAACATCGTTGTATGTCTAATATTGAAAAAAAATGTTATAGTATTGAAAAAAATGTTATAATATTGAAAAAAATCGTTGTAATAATAGTTATAAAAAAAACTGTAATAAGATTTAAAAAAATGATGTAATCATAATAAAGTTAGGCCGAAATAAAAATATTTGACATATTAAAAAAAACGGGATGATTTTAACAAAAATCGATGCAACATTGACCATAAATTTAATGTACTTTCACCAAATAAAGTTTGGATTTTATGGACTTCCACAAGAAAAAGTCTGTTTTTACACCAGATAATCTGAACAAGGAAATTATCAGTGATGAATATTATTAGTGAATATTATTAATAAATATTATTAACGAATATTTTTAATGAATATTATTAATGAACATTATTAATGAATATTAATAATAAATAATATTAAAGAATATTATTAATGAATAATATTAATAAATATTATTAATTAATGTTATTGATGGATATTATTAATGACTGTCATTAATGAATATTATAAATGAATATTATAAATGGATATTATTAATGAATATTAATAATGAATATTATTAATGAATATTGTTAGTGAATATTTTTAATGAATATTGTCAATGATTATTACATAAATAATATTCTAAAAACGCACATATCAAATCAATTATTGCACTCTTTTATTAACAATATAATACAAAATACGCCAACTTTTGCCTTTCGACACGAAGCGTGATTATTTAATATGAAAGTTCTAGTATACAGGGTGTTTCAAAAAGATTGGTCATAAATTATACCACGTATTCTTGGGTCATAAATAGGTCGATTAAACCATACTTACCTATATACAAAAGTGTACCCAAAAATAGTTACAGGGTGTATAAGACAAAAATTTAAATGAATGTTTTTAACGTTGCTCTTAAACCGTTTGACATTTTTTGTGTGTTGAAATACCATGACTAACAAAATCGAGGTAGAGGCAATATATTTTTTTTTTATTTTTGTAGGATTTTGGAAGGTGTCACCGCCCCTTTCTCTACTCAACTTTTTTGTAATATAAAATTTTATTAAAAATCAAACGCTACTGAAATGCAACATCTGTTTGGAAACTTTTTTGTCTCTTAGTATTTGTTTGTAAAATGTTTGGTTTAGACGATACAGCCACTTAAAATGACATCTTCAAAATATTCAATGTAAATTATACGTATGCAAAAATATCAAAATTCGATTTTCATTGTTAAAACTATGTAGTAATTGTATACAGGAGGAGAATGTAATTTTGAACACCTGTTAAATTAATTTTTTTTTATTTTGATGACATTAGTTTGTAATTTAAAAATAAACTTGATTTTGATATTTTTCATACGTAGAATTTCCATGGAATATTTTTAAGTTGTCATTTCAAATGGCTGTATCGTCTAAACTAAACTTTTTACAAACAAATACTAAGAGACAAAAAAGTTTCCAAATGGATGTTACATTCCAGTGGCATTTCATTTGTAATTAAATTTTATACTACAAAAAATTGAGTGGAGAAAAGAGCGGTGACGCCCTCCAAAAACCTATAAAAATCAAGAAAAATATATATCCTCTTCCCCGGTATTATTAGTCATGGTATTCTAACACGTCATATAAAATTTCATGAAAAAATGCCAAACGGTTTAAGAGCAACGTTAAAAAAATTCATTTAAATTTTCATCTTATACACCCTGTAACTATTTTTGGGTGCACTTTTGTATATAGGTAAGTACGGTTTAATCGACCTATTTTTGACCCAAGAATATGTGGTATAATTTATGACCAATCTTTTTGAAACACCCTGTATAATACCTTATATTACCCATATATAGTAAATTTATGTATAGAGCAAGCAGGGACGGATCTATAACGTTTCCAAGGGGGGGCTGGGTTTATTAGTCTCTTTGGCGGAGGAGGGGGGGCAATTGATCTTATTGTCTTCCTTGGGTTAAACAACTGGTGAGAGCAAACAATATTTCTTGAAAAATTAAGATAATAAATTTACTGTGTGGGGATATTTAAAGTCTAGGGTCTATAAATCAGAAATAATTAATTTATTATCTCGAATTAAGATGGCGGGTAGAAAATGAATGTACAGCGTTAATGAACAATATATGGGTCTATTGAATAAAGAAAAGTATTACCTTGCAAGTCATAACTTATAAGAAAAAGCTAAAACTTCTAAGTAGAAGCTAGTACTTATTTTTATTTGAATAAAAAACTAGAACTCTCTCGAAAGTAAATATCGGAAAAATCTTTTGAATTTTGAGTAATTACTTGTAAGTACTTACTTATATTTACAAGTATTTACTTTTTTCGTTGCGTATGATGAATGAAAGACATGGGAACCCAAACACAGCCCTCTAAACAAAAATTGATACTAAATCGTGACAGGATTGTATGCAATCACAAGTAAGCATTTGTTTTCGAGTGAGAAAAAATTAATTGCCAGTAAAAATTGGCGGTTACAGACTTATGTTTGTTAAATTGCTAAAACAGTATAAGGTTTTTCTTTGAATAAATCAATGATTCCTACTATAGTTTAAGCTTAAGAAAAGGCATGGAAAGATCTCAAAGACGAATTTATCAAAATGTCTGGGACAAATACTACTGTTGAAAAGTCTACACTTTCACTTTCAAAACGCAACAAGAGCTTAGATTTGCTTGGGCTGATGCTTCTCTTACTATAGTTCTTCCTATTACGAACATTTATGAAGTCCACCATGTTTAACAAAGTATATTAGCAACTACCGTAGAGAAAAAAGGATGCTTTATAGCTACCTTAAAAATCATCAAGTTATAACTGACTAATTTAAGACAGATCTTATTTTTATTCAAATAAAAATAAGCCAGTACTGGAAAAATATAAGTAAATCCTTATATTTTAAGTAACTACTTGAAACTATAAGAGTTTACTTATGGCCATAAGTAACCTCTTTTACATGAAGTAGTCACTGAACTTTTATTCAATTTATACTGAGAAAATACTTAAATAAGAGCAAGTAGAAGCCAATACTTCTTTTTATTCAATAGGCCCAATAACCACATTTTAAGAGGAGTATTTACTTGGCTGTAGAGCGGAGCAGGCAAGGGTTTCGTAGTACCCCACTTTTAAAGTTTATTTTTGACTTATTCTGAAAGAAAAAAATATGTACATGTAGGTAAAGGATAAATCTATGCTCCTATGGAGACACTTTTTTAAAATTTGAAACAACTTTTTTCTAAAAAAAAAAATACAAAACTCGACTTTTTTACCCATTTTCTCAATTTTTTTTAGAAAAAACTAAATTGAATTTTGAAAAAGTGGTTCCAGAGGAGCATAGATTTAACCTTTACCTACACTCACATATTTTTTTTTTTTTAAATAGTCAAAAGTTAAACTTTAAAAGTGGGGTACTACGAAACCCTTACATTGCAAGATTTTTCGTCTGGAAAGTGGCGCCTCTGTTAGAGTTTTAAGAAATTAATATTTGTGAATGAAAACAATTTATAATATATTTTACTGATGTTTTACGAGGAAGAATAAATTTAACGTATTTGTACACCTTATTTTTTACGTAATTTATTTCTCTAATACTAAGATTGGCATATGTATTATATGCAAGAGTTTCATAGTACACCAATTTTACGGATTATTTTTTAATTTTACTAAAAGATATTTTATATAAGTTTAGGTAAAGGCTTAACCCATACCTCTCTGGAGTCACTTAAAAATATGAATCAGTCTCTCTTAAAAAAATCTAAGAAAAGAAACGAAAAGAAATAAAAATGTAAAAAAATGCTAGAAGAGAACAATATATTTAATTTTTGCCTACAGGAGCATTTATTTTTCTTACAATAAAAATAGAAATACATTGAAAGCTTTTTCGTCTAGAGTCTAGAGGGTGACACGAACAAAATATATATCTTTTTCTACTATTTAGTGATAAACAGTACGTAAGTGATTTGAATTCATATTGTTATTTTTTACATACAGTAATTTCGCTCAATTATATTAAATTAATTTTATCATTTATTTATTAAAAAAATATATATCCGAAATTGGAAGGTATACACTGAGATGTGAATTATAAATATGTTTTTGTTCAATGAATACCTCTTCGAGTCAACAATAATTATTAATTCCAGCATGTTAATATCTCTTCAATCCGTTAAAGTAATGTAAATATTTTTTCTTGCTTTCGCGCATGACTTTGATCTGTCGCACCCTTTGAGGCGCGTTGCAAGAGAAAATTTTCTAAAAAGTTAGTCAATGTCTATAAATGAGAAAAAAACGATTGTGACAAGCTGATTGTGCATTGTGGCACAATAAAAGACGGAACCGAGTCACTGCTTTAAAATTTGGAGAAATTTGTAAAAAATCTCCTAAAATCTTTTATTTATTTCTAAAGCCACCCGATATGGCATGGACCATAAATTCAGAGCAAAATAAGGTTTGGAAATTTATTTGCAAGTAAAAGTTTTTAAATGTGGACATTTTATTGAATTCGAATTTGATTGTGTTGCTGCCAGTATGGATGGAATTAAAAAAAAACAAAACTCTATGATAGAGTTAAAATGTCCATATGGAGCTGAAGTGCTGACTGTAGAAGAAGAAATATGCAGTAGAGAAATAACTTTTTGGAAAAAGGACAATACCATTAAGGAAAACCACTATTGGTATTTTCAAATTCAGGGCTAGCTGCACATAACACAAATGGATTTTTGCATTTTGTGCTTTTGTGCTTTTGGACTTCTGGAGGAACAAAAGTGGAGAAAATATCTCATATTGACAGCTTTTGATAAGAAAAGATACAAAATAAAATTAAAAAATTTTATATGCAATATGCCTTGCCGGAACTTGTTGAAAGCGAAGCAATAGAGACATGGAAATACGGGACAGAATACTAAATAATTCGTGAGAAATTTTGTTTAATGTTTATTAACATAACGAAAGGAATCTTAAATTAT